TCAACTATGTTACAGAAAAAGCGTGTTAAGATTGGATCAAACCAAAAAAGTTTGACCAAAGATTTCTGAACCACTGCCAAAATATGTATTTTGGGAAGGGTGGCATATAAATCTAATCAATTAACACACATTTCCACATGAATTCTATGCAGTAAAAAACTAAGCAGCATAATTAGCTAAAAGAAAATTAAACCTCATTAGAAACTATTTCCTTAGTACAGACCAGTCTGAATGGATGCCTGATCACAAACTTCTGATAACAGGATTACCCATGATTAAGAAAAGCATAAAGGCTAGTCTGAAAAATGTTAACAAATAATTGTTTAAATAAGGAACTGTGTCTGAAAAAGCTCACAAACAGTATTAAGAGATGACCTAACATTTTAAACTGGGGACCACAACGAAGTAGTAGTCATAACCAGACTCTAACTTCTGTAATACAATCATGATAACAGATCTTTAGAGCAGTTGTTCCCAATCTGTGGTATGTGTACCACCAGTGGTACACAGGCCTGTCAGTGGTACACATATAAAGTAATTATAAAAAAATCTGTTAATGACAAAAATTTGCTGGTGGTTCTTAAGGCTGTATTGTTTTAAACTGGTGGTGCGCAATCTGTCAGAGTTTGGGAACTACTGCTTTAGCGAATAAACCTCCAAAGACTACCCTGAAAGGGACACATAAAAGGAGAAGATGGAAAATACCAAAGTAATTTTAATTTGCCTTCTCCATTCCTCTCACTGTGCTCAGCCGAGTCCCCAAGTATAAGTTAAAGCAATCTAATCTAAATAATGTTGTTATAACAGATGACAGTGATCAAAATGGTAGTGAGGATTAACAGTATGTACCCATGCCATGCCACCTCTGGTCTGCTCATAAGGAGAAAGAACAGTGCAACTGGTTGGTGTTGTAACCTCACCAGCACTGAGGAATCCCCTCAAGCTTATGCATCAGCCATCTGCAGCAGAAAATTCTGTCATCATGAACCAAAAACATCAAACCAAAGTACTAGGAAGCCTGTGGACAGAGCTGTTTCTTCAAGCCTCTCAAAATCAGAACCTGTACTACATTTACCTCAGCACCACATAACTTACATCTCAGGGCACCAGACGCCTCCAGCCACCATGAACAGAATTCTCTTTTAATGCTACAAGTGCTGCCCCTCTGCCCTGCCTTCGATTTTGTTCTCCTAAAATTTATATCTACATTTTCCCTTGTTCCTTTACCTTACCACTCTTATCTGAGTCTTGCTGATCCTCCCACACAGTGGTTCTCAACAAGGGGGAGGGGGATGAGAGATTTTCCAAGCCAAGCAAATGCCCCACACACTTGCTGCACAGTCAGATTGGGAACGGCTGTGGCACACATGCACTCTCCTGCCTTGGTAGGGTTCTCTGAGGAGCCTAAAGAAAGCAAGAGAGCCATATGCAGCCCTTCCCAATACAACCCAACACTTCTCCCAGAAAGAGCATGGGACAGTTCCAGCTGACCCAGACACCTGTTTCTGGGAGCTGCTATGCAGGATTGGACCAGGAATGGCTGTAGCACCAGCCAGCTTTCCTTCCTGCTTTAGGGTTACAAAGGCCTGGTTGAGAATCATCAAGGTAAGCTGATGCAGCACAACAGTGGTTCTCAACTGGAGATACCAGCAAATTCAAAAAAAGTTGGGGATAGGGTGCCCTGATTCCAGAAACGTTGAGAGCCACTGCTCTAACACAACCTGCTATTATCTACATGTATAGTCTTCAGGTTTCCACCATGATTTCATCCTTGTCCTCCACAAAATTAAACTAGTTAATAATCAGATAATTTCTGTTGCTTTTTTTTAAATTACAGGTTACCAGATATAGCCTCAATAACTCCATAACCTGATTTTTTGTATACCTTCCTGATACCTCCTCCATGCCTTTCTGACTAGTTACATAACTGAATTTTGTTCAAGAGTTAGGACACAGTTACAAGTCCTTTGGGGCAGTAACTTTTTTTTTAATTTATGAAGTATATCATACACATTTAGATTTTATAACACTAGGCTGAAGAAGTGATCTCCAGTAAGCAATAATGTATAGCCTCCACCCTTCCTAAGCAACAGCTTTCCATGGTAACCCTACCCTCAGCTTCAGTCATCATCTTTATTAACCCCTTAGATTTTTATAACCAGTGCTATTAGTTACGTTAGTCATATGACCACTCTAATGAGCAATGCACATCTAAGAGGATGGAAGTGCATCCTGAAGGACAGTTCACAACAGGTATCATTTTTGGCGTTTGGCAGCAAAGCTCTTCAAAAAAGACTAGCTCATAAGGTGACAGCCCAATTTTATGAGAGAAGGAAGCAGCCAGCCAAAATTCTGACCAATGAGAAGAGGAATTTGATTGAAAAAAATCTGAGTACAGCAGGCTACAGCCATCATATACACTACACTATGTACACTAACTTCAGCATCTAAAAAAACCAAGAAAGGCAAACCAAACAAAAAGGAATAATAAAAACTGTCTTCAGATTTTAAAAAAATCTGAATTTTAGGGCCATTTTTTTCTTTGTGGATAATTTTAACACTCATAGCCTTGGAGCCTGTTAATACATATATAATGCCCACATACATGTTATAGATATATGTATACATTGCTATAAATTCAGATGTTTAAACAAGTCTGTTGTACTACCTCCTAAACACAGGTACATACTGAATACTCCTGGTAATCTCTCTCTCTCTACAATAGGGGTTGGCAATCTGGATCTGGCCTGGTGGGAGCTCTCTCTGTGCCACAAGGGGGAGAAGTGGTGGCAGTGGACAGATCCTAGTGTCTGCCCATCTCTGAAACTGTTCTGTTTCGCCTTGAATTTCAAGGTTTTGACGGAACAGTGTTCATATCAAATTTAATTTAGATTCAAAATAGCTGTTCTGTTTTGCTTCATCAAAACAGCGAGGCGTTTCGACTCTGTTTCCTCGTTTTGCTAGATTGGCCAGGGACAGGGAGTCAGCCAACCCAGCTGGGCTGACTTCCCATCCCTGGCACTAGATCAGGCTGGGGCATCAGCCCAGCTGGGCTGACTTCCAGCCCCAGCATTATGGTCGAAATGTTGAAATGTTTCAAAAGTTGAAACTAGCCTTATTTTGTTTCAAGGCTGTTTCAACCTCAAAATGAAACAAAATGGCCAGTGAAATTTCACAGAGCCCTACTCTCTTACCTGTGCTAGGTCACACAGAGGTCTGAAAAAGGCTGCTGACTACTGCTCTACAAAACTTAACCTAGACCTTAACAGAAGGTAACAGCAGAAATTGTTTTTGCCTTTCTAGTTGATCAGTAGACAGTAAGACTGAATAGTTGTTGAAAACACTTTGTTCAGAAGAAATCTAGTCCATATACATTCAGATTACATCAAAACTTCTGAACGTTAAATAAGACTAGGAAATCCTAATCCACTAAGCATAAAAAGACAAGCGGAACTGCCAGATGTCCATCTGGTCTCTTGATAACAGTGCTGGGGTTTACGCCAGAATCCCTGCCTCTTGCTGGTATTTAAACATTTTGTTGTCAACCACCACATTCTTATTCTCAATTCTTAAAGAAACACCAGAGATAAATTGGCTACTATTTAAAATGTGTTTACTGTCTGATTTATAAAAAAATTAGAATTGCCTTTAGTCATTTGTTAAAAAAGAATAAATTAAACCCATGGGTTACCTTCAATGCAAAGAAATACCTTACACACACAAAGAAGTCAAAACCTATGAACAAACTAGGAAACAAAATCCTTTTAGTTCCAATGAATCATCTGTTAAAGCGCACACAGAAAAATCAAACATCTTATATTTGCCTTTGTGCTCATTCTATGTCTAAATCTCTACCTTTTCACCTTCTCCTTTCACCTGTCTCTTATACCAGTATATTTTAGTCACCCTCTTATTAAAATATTATTTTCCTGAAATGGCTCTTTTACCACTCATTATTGATATTTTTTTTACTTTTTTGTATTATTTGTATTTAAAAAGCTTTAAAAACACCAAAATCATCACTTCAAGAGTACTGCTTTCTTTTTCCCAGAACTGTACACCATTTTCCAAAAGGTATAATTTTGTTCCACCAAGAACAGCTAGAGCATATCATCTCATTTTTATGTAAGAAATTTTAATTCAGGTGAGGATTTCTGTTACCTCAAGTATAATATTTCTTCAAAAGATCACCCCAAAATAACTTTTTCTCTTTAGGAAAGAGAAGGGTAGAGGAAGCAAGGAAGGCATGGAAGCCAAAATGTCATACATTTTGCACCCCCCAAAACAGTGTTAGTTAGATGAATAATGCAGACTTTAAGAGAAAAAAAGAAAAAAATCCATACAAAACATAACCACGTTCAGAAGAAAAATAATCAAAATCTGAGCAGACTTTCCAGCTGCCCTTTTGACTTATCAATTTCAGTAAGCAAAATTTCAATCAAGTCAAGATAAAATATACTAATCCTAAATAGACCAAGTTTGTCACCTACCACTTCCTATAAGCTGCTTACTAGAGTAGGAAAAAAAAAAATCGCTAAATTAAATGCCAAACAGTAGCATACAGCACTTGTTTGGCTGATTAACTTGTAGACAAGCATTACAAATAAATCTGAGCCTGGTCTGAAGCAAATTAAATTCCAGTGCGTTTAAGAATAAAGAATTCCTTGGGAAAAAGGATTAGCAACTTTACATTCAGCAATGCTAGTTTAATTTAATTGTTTCACAGTTCAATATTTAATATGTAAATATTATTTTGATATACAACAGTGAATTTGAGAAAGTAAGAAAACAATTTCAATACACAACTAGACTGCCTCTCTTTTGAACTGTAATTATACACAATAAAGAAGCTGGACAAGTTCTTTTTTCCCCTTCATTATTGGGATTAAATTCTATTAACATGAATCAGAACAAGTCTAATTAAAGGTTAAAAAATTAATATTATTCTAATTAAGAGTCTAAATAGTGGCATGATTAGGGTATGGTAGTTAAAATCCCACCTCAATGATCTTCTGGGCCTTGCTGTATTTTCCCAGTTCCAGGAAGGCAAAGAGGAGATCATGGAGAACACTAATTTCACCACATTTTGTGCTGATGAAATCTATAGCTATATAAAAGAAAATTCAGTGAATTTATGTTTAATATACAAAAAAGCTTTTAAAAAGAAGCACTCAAAATAATCTCAAAAAGATTCCATACAACTTACAAAATATTAAGTGCTAAAGGAGCCATTTTCTGAAAATAGATACTAAGAATGATTACAAAAACATTACATGATCCTTTGTAAACTTGATATTTGACTCTTATTTCAAATCTTTTAACTCATGTGCATTATATCTTACAGTAATTACATTCAGCAGCATTACCAGATTGCAAATTGGCATTTTATATTTCTTCAGGGTGAGGATTTGCAATTTCTTAACCAAAGAATCAAGCACTGGGAGATAGGCACATAGAAAAAGTTATGCCTTATTAATATCAATAATATACACAGATAAAGCAGAATGCCTACCAATCTACCAGTATTTTAATTTTGGGATCCCCTTTGGTGATAGCTAGAGATCTGTTGGTGGAAGCATTTGAGTTTTTCTACATTTGAAAACCAGAGTCACTTTTTCAGTCTACAAAAGGGATGTCTTATCGAAGGATTTAGGTTATGTACATGTAAGCTCTCTCAACATGCCCTTCTTTCATTTACTCAACCAGATATACAGGTAAAACAAAAATACTCTAAATAAACTTAAATTTTACTATATCCAACTAACCTTCCTGTAGGATATCTGTATTTTCTGTCTCTATGCATCTACATAAGAATTGATGGGGTCCAGGCAAATAGTTATACTTCTGATGCCAGTGAATGAGAGTGTTTAGAGCTCCTCGCATGTCACCTCTTGAAAAAAGAAGTTGTACAATAAGATTAAAATAAGGAAAAAATACAGTTTATAAAGTTAACTCTTCATAGGAAGAATACATAGACATATTGTTTTAGTGTCCCTTGGTTTTCAACTAAATCCATGGGATCATAAACAGTGTGCAAACAAACTATTAATAATATGTTACTCATTCAAATCATTCTTTTTCACCTACCACCAAGCTATTTTTAGATGTAAATTCAAATGGCAAATTTGTAAATCTTCAACTGGTTTTGTGTTTGTCATAAATTAAGTTTTTTCCAGAGTCTTAGAGAAACACCAGCCACTATCAACCATAAGGACTAGATCTTCATTCTCAGAATTCTGAGTAGATTGTGTGACTTTTATTCACTATGGTTTAATTGTATTTAGAGGTCTGTACACCATGTAACAAGCTGAACCTAATATTTGCAGCAGTTCCCTGAATTAAGCCCACAACTGCAGCAGATTAGAAATGCCATGGCAGCTGCATTTAAGTATTAAAAACTGAAATTAAATTAGTAATGTTACCTGATATTAAATTTTGAGGCGCTTTCAATTTTTAAATGCTTTAACTAAGTACCCCACACTGCTTGCTAGAGTTCTTGTTTCACACCTCTTGCAGATACGAGCACAGACCACCACACTCATTTATATGTTTAGTGTTATTTCAAAACTGCGATATTTCTTTTTACATATTTGTACAGAGAAGATGGACTCTAAGCAGATCCACAAAGTTTGCTTTCCGTTGGATAATATACAGGTTCACAGGATATAGCCACAAAGCAACCTGGAATTTCAATATATTCTTTAAAAATATCCATTCATCCAGAGGTTTAATCTGAAGGATAAGAATTTGTACAGTGCTCTAAGAAACTTGGAGTGCTGTAACCATTTTAAAATAAAACAAACCAAATAGGATGGTTGTCTTGGGGACTTTGTAATGTAGCACCCTGGGGGCCAACCTTTTTGGCAAGAGTACCACAGATCAGTCCTGCATCTTCACTGAGTACCACTCCAATCTTCTTCCTCTGCCTGATGTGCTCTGCTTTCTGTCGTGCACCCTCTACCCAATCTGCTATGGGCTACACACAGGAGGCTAACCAATGCTACTTGTGGTACACATGCCACATGTTGACCCTGCCAATCTAACATAATATATACCAACATATCAGCTCAACCTGTACTTTGTAAGGTGTAGGGATTTCAGAAGTAGAAGGTAAGAAAGTTACAAGGAAATAGGAGTCTTAAGCAATGATTTGGAGAAGAGTCACCTACATAGAAGATATTTTAAAACAATTAACAAAGCAAAGAATTAATAATATTTAGTGTAATATTTGTGTGAGTGGGCCCCCCCCCAACTTTTTTGTTGACAAAATATCTTGCCAAAATACACAGAGATTAGGGAAAGTGGGTAGATGGGCAAGAAGAGTGTATTCTAAAAACCGTGTTACCGTAGGCTAGTGAACATTACAATTGCTGACTTGATACAGCGTAATAATTTTGAATTTTTTAGAAATTTCTGTTGACCACCTAAACAGTACTTGAAGTAAGGAAGCAATACTGTTAAACCAGCCTCTGCAAATATACGACCTTCTCTTCACTTTCAAAAATATTCTATTACATAAATGTTATTCCACTCTAGAAGGCGTTACTATTTTATCTGGATTAATATTTTAAAATCTACTAAAAGGTAAAATGCAGAAGTGTTAATTTAATTGCAATAATACTGACAGTCTGAAAATGAGTGCAACTTGATGGATCTCTACCTTATCCCCCTTACTAAACCCTGTTTACAGTGCATCTTCTGGCACCCCACAGAGTCATTTGAATTTTTGTCATTTGGGGTGAAGACAAAATTACAGGTTAATTTCAAAACTGCAAGTCGATGTTGCAGGCTAGATTACTGTCATACAAGAGAAATACTATGGTAGCTACCAGAGATGGATATAAAGCTTTATATAATCATTATTTTCTCCTGCTTTTAGATGCAAGTTCTGTTAACACCTTTAAAATCAGTTCTACAGAAAACCACTCTCAATTTCTTCTGGGGCACAACAACATTCATGTGTTCAAATTAAAGTTTTCAGTGGTAAATTCAGCTTTTCAAATTGATTCTCAAACTGCAATAGTATCATCTCAGCTGTATTCCCACAGCATTGAAGTGACTGTTTTTAGGTCAAAGCTATAAATAAATGAATGAATAATTGGAATGTCAATCAAATAGGGACATTAAGAGTTTTTGGTTTCTAAATGTATGCTTCCAAAGATGTTAATATGGTGTGTGCAGAATAAGTCAATGAAAGACAGGTAACAAAAATGGAAATATTACAAGTGTTATTATGGTTGCTGTTTATACCAGATATGGATGTACCCCATTCAGACCCCAAGCAGGTTTGCGCTTAAGGCAGCCAAACTTCTTACATGAATTCAAGATTATAGATAAAAATCTACTTCATTTGTCCAAATTCAATTCACTAAATGTTGCTACAAAGTTGCTATTCTTCAAGGTTAAACCACCATGATTTACTACAAAATATCTGTAAGTTAAACGCATATGACAGGTAGTCAGTGACTATTCAAAGCAAAAAAGAAAATAAACAAAATAGCAATACAAAAGTTTATAATAAAAATGAAATTGACTCAGTACTGTAATGACACCCCTCCCCACATACACACACACACCAGAAGACTTAAATGACTTTGTGCTTGGGTTAATGTGATTTACTCTAAGTCACAGTATCTGTAAATTCTTGTAAAAACTGCTTTAAAGAAAGTACACCTCCATGCATGAGTGTTACAATTCTGTCATAAACCTCAGCCTTTGCTGAAGTTCACATTAATTCTTCATTTTAAAACTATGAACATTTTCATGATTAACCTGTAGACATAATCAACTCATTTTAAAACAGGATGTGTGTTTGTGTATGTGTAACTGAATAGATATTATCTTTCTATGCCACATTCATCAACAGCCAAATTAAATGCCCCAGAGGATAATAAAATTGACTGAATTCCTGATCCAAAGCCCACTTTAATTAATGGAGCCAGTGATTTTAGCAGGTTTTAGGTGAGGTGCAGATCCAATATTCACAACTGCTCTCGCAAAACCGTGTCCATGTGTTAATCAAGAGAGGCGTACGTCTGTAAAAAACTCAGATGATCTATGTTTCACTGAACAGAAATGGTTTTGCTTTTACTGGTTAGCTATTCAAGTTTTATCTTCTTAATTATTATTGAAATGGCATTTGTCTTCCTTTTCTAAGGTATAAACCTACTCCTGTTTTTAAAAAAACTTCATATAAACAGTTGGAATATTGCTTCTCTCACTGAAAATGCTTTATTAAATAAAGACAGATGCATGCTATCATAACCTAAATGACAGAGGCAGCCTCTGGCATAAGTGTATTATGCTTGTCCCTCACATAATGACAGATGAGCCCTAACTCAGCATTTTCCCCTCAATTTAGACTTTTCTAAGTATAGGATGGAAGGAAGCAAGTTATCTTTTGCCTGGGGTGCTTGTGTGTTTCTTGGATGTTTTGGGCTCAATCCAGAAAAAATACCCATGAGTAATTTTATCCAGTGAACTCAGTAGGACTGTCTGCTCAGGTGAAGTTACCCACATGCAGAAGTGACTGCATAATCAAGTTCTGTAACAATGTACAGTACCTAAATCCTTCTCTCATACACCCATTTTAACTTCAAATAAAATAAGCCTCTCCTGTCTTGCTTCAAGAATATAGCTCTACACTTAACCCTTTTACTTACAACTTTCCTTACTTACAACCAGATAGTCTGCTTGATAAAAATAAGACTCCAAATATTGATTTTAATTGGAATGAAGTGCTGCAACATTATGCATAAAGCTTTAGTGAAGTGGCAATTTACCTAAGGGGTTTACTGATTGAAAAGCTCTCAAACCTGAAATCACTAGAGAGAGAGACAGACACAGAGAGAGACAGAGAAAAAAGGGATGGGGGGGCATGCGGGCGGACACTCTTAAAACAAATCCTCTGCAAATCTGAAGCAGATGTTAGCATGGAGGGAAATCAATTCAGTAAGGTACAATCAGCTTTACAAAAATTATTCTGTTAAGAGAATGGGCTCTTGAAAGAGCTAAATGTTTTTCTGTTCATCAGCTATACTGAGGAATCTTCAAGGAGACTGGTGTTGCAATTACAACTAATCCTCCCCAAAAAATTAACTGTGTTGAAGGCTTTGTAATTTCCCTAGGTACAATTTAGCTGTCACTTACTTTAAAATTTACTCAAACATGCGTTCCGAACAGCACTAACTTCACATGTCAAGTGCTTTCCAGCCAATTGAGTCTAAACTGGAAGTCGGTGTTAAACAACTGAATGATTAGACAAGATAGCTCATTTCCCTGCTCTTTTGTTCAGAATAAAATGCCACATTTACATTATCAGGCTCAACAGGATTTTCTGACAGAGGGAGAAAAAACCCTAGTGAACACTGTCCGTACTAGGCACATGAAGCCTGTCATTTACCAATCATCCTTCAAAAAGCAATAGCCATGAATGTAACTTAATTACGACCCAATGATCCTTGACGAAAAATCATCTTATCACTGTCCTGTCCCCCTTGGGCAAATGAGCCACTTTGTCCTTTGGCACTGATGATGCTAAATTCCTAATTGCAATAATGGAGTAAGAGAGCCAAATATCCTTAATTTCCTTGCAGCACTTAAGAATTTTAAACCAGGAAGAAAAAAAATATAAGGCAAATATTTGAAATAAAGATGCTAAAAGTTAGGGGGAAAATCCTATCCTTTAAGATAAGCAATAATTATCCTTTTCTAGTATTGCCTACTTTTAAAATAGCAAGGTAAAAGGTCACTAAGCTTTTAATATTTGCCATAGGATCATCTCTAACAAAGGAAAACACACGTGTATATAAACCCAGATGAGCCAGAAGCAAAACACAGTATTTCCATTACATCCACATACATGCTACATGAAGCTAATGAAATACATGT